TAACATGTTCATGAAAACTGCAAGTGGATACTTACGAACTCCTTGCCACGCAGTGGGCAGCTGTAATGACCCACGAATCAGAAATCAGTGATCCTCCGCAGATAAACCCTCCATTGCGTTTCAGAGCTATCTGTTAGAGGAAAGATGATATGAAAACGGTTTTACGTTTCTCTGCTTTAGCAGTACAAAGCTTAGGTGGGAAGGCTTCAATATTTTCAGAACGTATTTATACGAAGGGCGCGACGTGTGTTAGGAGATCAATCATTTAATTTTATGACCTTTTTTCTATGCTAGCAAGTAGAATAAATCAGGCATTCACTGAAAAGCAAAGACGTATCCATGCCACCACTGGACTTACCTGCCATGGCCAAGCCCCAGGTTTGGCATCTTGTCCTCCTATAACTCGTGACTGAGGAATAGGCGTACTGCCACATGGCAGCTGCTGCCCTGCAAAGAAAAACACACAAACAAGCTGCACCTGACTCATCCAGTGAAGTAAATAGCTGGACACAGGATCGATGACCTAATTCTACTGTTCTTTGATGGTCACAAGGGTATGAAAAGGAAAAAATAAGAGCTCCTAAATAAGATCGACTCGCAGATCAATATAAGTGAAACTTTCGATAGTGTTGATGTGAATAATTTGCAGGACGTTTGTGATATATGAAATTGGTATATGGGTCTGTAACTTAGCAGTAAGTCGTTGGTCTCACACGCACGAAATATGAAGAAATTCCCTCTTTGTTTTACGACTGAGCTCAAGATTGAACATCCTAATTCTACTTACGAGGACATTACCTAATGATGAAAGGAGCATGGCTTTTTAACGAAAAAAAAAAAAGAAAATAACGAGTGCCGAAAGAACGAGAAAAACAATTCAGACGTGACGATGAGGGTGAAACTGAAGTATGTCAACGTTTGAAATACCGTGTGCTGGAGAAAAAATAAAAGTACATAAGATTTCATGCAAATGGTGATAACTCTTTTTCATTAACAGAAACCAAGAGATTAAATTCCCTCGAGCAGTGCTGTAAATAATACACTAAGTTTTAGTAACTTCGAAGACGTTGTTACAGTTTAGGAAGCTTCACCCAAACAGCTTGCACAAGAATAAGAAATAAAAAACTTAAGGGACAAAGTTGTGTTTGAAGGATGTTCTTACCCTTAGCCGTGAATCCCAACAGCAGTAACACCAGAAAAATCATCTTCTCTGTATCAAAGATGACTGCAAAAAGTTTCCCCTTCTGGGATTTATTTATACTCATACATGCCAATCACAACTTTGTTTATCAACAAACATTTTTATTGGCCAATGGAAGATTGCTCAAATTTTGCCATGGTGTATAAACATTTTTACTGCCCACAAGAGAAACTAAAACAAACCTTGCTTGCTTTTGGGATGTTTGTAACTTGAAAAGTTAAAGCATTAGTTTAATGTGACTTTTGTGAGAACTAAAAGCCACTTGAAGTCCATCTAAACACAAAAGGATTTCCTACTTTCGGTATAATTGCATTTAATCTGAAAGCATTGATGTAGACTGAAAAAAAACAGATTCTTGATTGGTTTAGTTTTGCATAGCCGTTCCACATTTTACGTAAATTGATAATTGAGATAACACGTTATTAAGCTTGGGTTAA